TGAGCTCGGACATCGCACACCCACTTGCACGGCTGTAGCTGTTTCTGCCTCTGAGACGTAGCTCGTTTACCCCCATCTCCCGTGGAGCTGCCTGGCTCTGCCAAAACACCTCTCTTCTGTTCCTTTTCTGTTTCTCCTCCTGTTCCTTCCCCAATAACGTCTTCTCCTGCCAACGCAATCTCACTACTACAGCCGTTGTCACAAGAGTACAAGCATCACAACATGCAGTGGCCAGGGTATACCAAGCAACCTGACAGCATTCTGAAGAGAGTTACTTACAGCAGCTTGGCTTTGTTTTGTTTTCACAGCATTCATCACGCGAACAGCTCTTTCACTCTGATTGTGCAGCTCCATGAGTTTCTTCTTCAGCGCTGACTGCAACAGAAGAGATCAGAAACTATTGTAGAGAAGCAGTTGCCGTGTCTGCTCTCAGTCAGGTCGTGCTTACTGGAGTAACAACCACATTTACAGGAAGTTTTAAATACCCGATGTAAGCATTTAGTATTATTGGTTTAAAACCTACTGCTCCTTAAACCTTACAGGCTGTAAAAGGACTTTCCACAAGGCGTGGCTTGTGGAGCTGGCACCCCTCCTGCAGCTCCACCTCTCCCACCAGCAAGACGGTCGCTGTTGACTCACCCTCTTGATAAGGGCCTGAGTGCTTTCATCAGCACAGCAGTTCCCAGTGTTCCCAGTGCTATGAATAAACTTTACGTTAGCCCTCAGGCTGGACTTTAGGCACTAAGTTAAGGCTACTGTTCACCCCTCTCTTTTTAATTGAGAATTTTACTGCTCAAATGGGAATTACCTATTGCTTCAGTTCAAGATGCTGCTACGCTAAACCAGGGAGGACTTCTGAGGCTAAGCAGTACACACGCTCACCAAACAGACGGGAGTTTGGCCACCTAAACTCCTCAAGCACGCTTTACTCATCTACCCTCTGATTTTCAGATACAAAGGCCGGGTTTCCTTCCCTTCCACTCTGTGGAGAACCTGCTCCTGGCTTTTATCTACGTGCTAGAGATCTCCCTAGGCTACTTCTGTAACGGTTTGCTTTTTAACAACATACGCACAGCAACGTCAGCCTGCGGTAAGGCCACGCCGCGAGCCCCGTGCAGCAGAGGTGACACCCGCAGAGGTGCGAGGCCCGGCGGGTCAGCCCAGCCCAAGACAGGAGCTGGCAGTCAACTGCGTGACGGCACCTTCCCAGACTCTCCGAGCACCATCTTGGAGAGAGGAGCAAAACGCAAGCAACGACTCCGAAGACGTGCCCAAACGCGCGCTGGAACGCAGGCAAGAGTTTGCCGAGGCCAGGCAGGAGATTTACAGTCCGAGTCTGGGCCCAGCCCTCGCTGGCGCCCCACAGCCCACGACCCCAGCACCCAGGCACCCACCAGGCGCCAAGGGGAGCTCCGGGGTGCCCTTCGGAGGGCGCCCCGTCCCCGGAGCGAGCCGGCAGCCCCCGCCCGCCGCTCCCCTCGGCGTTGGGTTTTGCCAGCTGCAGGGG